TGACTACTTAATATTGTATGGTCAACTATGTTAACTGGAGTATTGTATGAACCGGTATGGGACGGTGACATACTAGGTATGAATTATTTCAAACATTAAATTCTACCTAATTTGGAATGAGTTGGATTAACCAAAATAAAAAAAAGGTTAAGTCCTACTTATATGGACGTATATATATGAACCGGTATGGGACGGTGTCATATTGGGGATGGCTTAGCTCAAAATAGTAAGACCTACCTAAATTGGATTAAGGTATGGATTAACCATAAAGGTTAAGTCCATCATCTACATGTGTCATATCAATTGTGAATTGAAAGACTTACTACGGTTTCAGGATGGAGTGTTTACATATATCAGACCACTACAAAGATGGCTGATATTTTGTATTGGGAGTACGGACTTTATATATATATATTTTATGTGCCATGGTATGAGCCTGAGTCTCAGGACCATAGTTAGAGCGCGTATATCGCTTAGGATGGATAACTGGACATAGGTGTTTTTCCCTGATAGGTCTAGGTACTCATGCCCACCTTAGGGTGCGTATTTGCATGTTGCCTTCTATTCAGGCTGAGACAGACCTACTGGACTAACGTGCGTCCTATAGTGTGTACTATATATACATATATGGACTACTCTAGATATTGTTGAATCTTTCTAGGATGTATCTGCGTATCGTATTACTGTTTGGATTGTAGTAGATTAGGACTTGCATGTGGGCCTGACCAACTCTATTATTTTTCAGGTGTTCGACAGTACCAGGCGTAGAGCTTGATCGTATTGGTGCAGATACAGACACTCACTCTTCCGGTTACATTGGATTTCCTTTCTATTTTAATTTTTGGGTTTTAATTCTGTAAATTTATTCATAGATTTGGGGTTAGGGGTCCACTAGGTGGATTCCCGAGTTGTACAGTTTTAAATTATATTAATTTATTATTTCAAGTTTGAGGATTCTTATTTTAGATTTCTTTCAGCATATTATTAATTTATTCTTAGTTCAGTTTTTTATTTCTGTTTGTTTACATATTAATTGTTTGGTATTCCTCGGATTTGTACTCGAACTTGATCACCCGTGACTCTAGAATCGAGGTGTATCACAAAAGTGCCTAAAATGCACTTCTTAATGATCCCGTGAATGCAAGCAAATAATGAAAAATAGAGAAGGGATCATGTGCATTTGGGAAAGGTAAATCACCATGCTAATCCAACTAAACCACAAAAATGCAATGCCATGAAATGCAATGCCAATGTAATGGAATGTCGCTCCTTATATGCAAAATCTTTTCCAATCACAACAATTTCCAAACAGTTAATGTAACTTGGCCCATGACACCACGAGAGAATGATTGGCTAACTATCATTGACCTAAGACAACTCCTTAGTGTCATTTGGGAGCTCAAACACGCTAGAGCGGTCTCCCTAGTTTCCTCTAGGTCTTATTAACACCATGGACACAAGGCAACTCCTTATTGTTCGGTTTTTGCAAATAACTTTCCAAAATCCTTTCTTTTCCAAAGTTTTTTTCCCAAAATAATTTCTTTTATTTTCAAAAACCAATTTTCATTTTCTTTCCCAATGCCATGCGTGAATGTCACATTCATTCTCAATGCCATGCAAATCCATACATTGTAAACCTTAATCACACAGCATGCTTTTGACCATAATTAACACAATAATTCCTTATGTAATCAACACATCATTCTTGGCATTTAGACATGTAAAGCATATAGTAACATCATTGAAGCACATATTTTCACCACACTACAAGTAATATGCAATTTTTTACACCTCATCACATAAGAATAGAAGTCATGCCTCAACAAAACCATAAATCAAGCATGTTGCAATATCAAATAAGAGAATAATTGACAAAAAAAAACCCCAAGGAATTGAATTTTGGGAACCCATACCTCAATAGAAAAGCAAAGTCCCAATTTTTCATTTTTGAAATCCAAAGGCAGTCCAATAGAAAATCTGCTCAGATTGAATCATAGCCCTCGTCGAGCTCATCAACTTTGCCTTCAATGGCAAAGTTCAAATCCCACAAGAAATGGATGAAATAAAGGCTTGAAAAACTTAGATTTAGAGAGAGAAAGAGACTTTTAGATAGAGAAAGAGAAGGCCACGAAATTGGAAGAGAAAAGTGGCAAAAAATATGCTACATGTGCGAGATATATATCAACCTAATCAATGTGGGTCCCACGTGTCCAAAAATATCTACTTTGTCTCCATTCCATATATATACATATGTTATAATACTCATTTAACCACATAGCCACATAAATATGCACCAAATAACGATATATGAAATGTAATGACGCCGAAAAATAATTCCGTGGGCAAAAAAAATCCGGATGTGGGTCCCACTCGGGACCTCTGGGCTCGAAAATTTGAAAAATGGCGAAATGGACAATAATGCATTTCTAAGAGTCCTGAACTCGAAGAAATACTCCAACTAACTCTCGGAACTCACACGGCACACCCTACGGTGTTCGGTGCGTAAAACGAGGTGATAAAATAAAATAATTTTAAAAAAAATTAAAAAAATCCCAGAAAAGTGGAAAATAGAAAAATGAGAAACATCACATAACCACCATGGATGGTACTCTATCCTTCAAGTTGACCGTTGCTCCGACGAGGTCGATCTCATCAAGAGGCAGTATCGCCGAAGATGTCGCTGCTCTTATTCCATGGCGGCATCAGAGGTAAGTAATTATGTTATGGCGGTGGTGATGGCTATGATTGTCGTGGTAGCGGTGAAGATTGTGGTTTTGTTGAGGCGGTGGAGAAAATGATGGCTCAAATAACCTTTGGCGATGGTGAATATGGAGTCTTCTTATCAGTGACTAGCAAGGATTGAATTTACCATAGAGACGCGTGTTTGTGCCTAAGGGTGGGAAGCAAGAACGGAACCGACGGTGATGAAAGGACAGCGGAGTAGCATGGTTGAGTTCGACGATGTGGGTGTAGAGTAAAGGATTTTATCGTTGACGTTTTCGATGGCGGAAAGAGGGGGCTTTGGTGGCGGCAGCGGTGGTGACGACCGCTCACCTTCCTCACACCAATTGCAAATTTCTTATCCCTGATGTGAATAGATGTTGAGGAGAGATGCGAGAGATGTGATAGAAAAATAGTTTGTGGGTGATTTTGTCATTTTATGTAGTGTTTTTTTATAATTTATATAATAAAAGTATTTTAGTTATTTAACAAAAATTTCATCGAAATCTAACTCCGGTCACATTAAAAGAAAGTTTTTGTAATTTTTAAAATATTAAAAGTATTGTCTATAATTAGGCCTAACTAAGTGATTTCCCATATTTTATTTTATGTTCTATTTTTTAATCATTGTCAAAGATGCATATTCATAGTCAACAAATTTAAAATGACAAGACTTGACAAAATTATAGAAGTCCGTACTACTTTATCTATGCTTGGACAAACTTAAGAGACTAAATATAGGGATGGTACTTCGGTATGGCCTATGGAGAAAGGAATCACAGACCAAAACACTAATGCTACGTTTGGTGTGCAGGAATAAAATGGAATGCAAATGGGAATGGAATGAGAATGAGAATGGAATGGAATGGTTATTCCCATTCTATTGTTTAGTTGTAAATATGAAATGTGTAGGAATATAATGATAATAACCATTCTAGTGTTTGGTTGGACTAATTTAAATTTTAGAATGGAATAAATTTCTAATTGAATTCTCTAAAATATCCCTCTTAGTAACAAATAAATTAAATTAAATTAACAATATGATATTCTCTAATAATTTTTTTTAAAAAAATGGTGGCAGTGGCAGTAGTGGATGGTGGAAAGCGGTAGTAGTGTAGGTGGTGGTGTTGGAAGGCGGCGGTGGTGGCAATGGTGGAAATTGGTGGTAGCAGTGGTGGTGGAAGGCGACAGTGGTGTTGGTGGAAGGCGGTAACAGTAGTGTGGTGGTTGTGGTGGAAGGAGATATTGGTGTGACTATAGTGGTGGTGGAAGGCGGTGGTGGTGGTGGTGGCGGAAGGTGGTGGGCGATGGCGAAAGGCGGTGGCGGAAGGTGGTGGTGGCGGCGATGGTGAAAGGTGGTAGTGGTGGTGGTGGAAGGTGGTGGCGATGGTGGAAAGTGGTGGAAGGTGATGGAAGGCGGTGTGGAAGATAGTGGAAGGTGGTGGAAGCGGTGTAAGGTGGTGGGTGATGGCGAAAGATGGTGGCAGTGGCGGTGGCAGAAGGTGGTGGTGGCGGTGGTAGAAGGTGGTGAAAGGCGGTGGTAAAAGGTGGTGGTGGCGATGGTGGAAGGTCGTGGTGGTAGTGGAAGGTGGTGGTGGAAGATGGTGGCGGCGGTGGTGGTGATGGAAGGTGGTAGAAAGTGATGGTGGTGGTGGAAGGCGATGGCGGCAGCGTTGGTGGTTGTTGAAGACGGTGGTGGTGGCGGTGGTGGAAGGTGGCGGTAGTGGTGGCGGAAAGTGGTGGACGATGGTGAAAGTCGATGGTGGTGGAAGGCAGTGGTGGGCGATGGTGAAAGTCGATGGTGGTGGAAGGCAGTGGTAGTGGTGGTGGTGGTGAAAAGCGGAGATGATTGTGGTGGAAGGTAATTGTAGTTTTTAGACTTGGAGTATGAGGGTATTTTGGAAAGTTAATTTTTTAAAATAAATTACTTGGGAATGGAATGACCATTTCATAGGTTTAATTGTGGAATGGATTTTTATTTCAAGAAATGAATTTTTATTCTAATAAAATGACTATTCCTACTTTAAGTTACATACCAAATAAAAAAATAATTAAAATGGACATTCTATTTTATTTCATTCTTACATACTAAGCGTAGCATAATATTCTATCCTTTGGCCGTTTACTTCTTTTTAAAAAAACTTGAAAAGCTGCGTTGTCAAGTCAAGTGCTTCATTACTATCAACCAGCTTTAAATGCTTTATTACTATCAACCAGCTTTATATAAAAGCTGTTAGAGTGACCTTTGACCACTTTAATACTTTAAAAACCGGTACAAAAAATGGGTTCATTATTTTTGACCTTTTTTATTTTTATATTTTTTAATTTCTTTTGTTCGTTTGTTTTCGTTTGTAATTTTTTTTTATTTTTTTTATAGGCATACAGAATTGATTATATACATAATGTTTATTTTTATTTTATTTTATTTTTTCTCTCTCTTACCGCAAATCTATGAACCTCTATATAAGCTCACCTACCCACTACCCACTCTTCATCTCTCACCCCTCCTTTACAAGAATTTCTCTCTAATGTCTAAACCCATGTCCAAACATCGCTTTCTTTCTCTCATCCTCTCTTTCTCATCTGCCAAACACTAATAATACGTCCTTCGCTCACGATTTTCTTCTCTTCCCAGCTTCCATATAAGGAGTTAGTTAGGCTCATCTTTGTTCGATTTTGAGCAAATTAATTGATTTTAGCCTTAGGGTTATGCCTCCTCACTGCTCAGGTAACTTTTAATTTTTAATACACTAATTTTTCTATTATATATATTTATATATATATATATATACCCTTTTTGTCTTCTTTTTTTTTTTTTTTTTTTTTTTTTTCTTCTTTGACTCATAAGCAGGCTCTGGCTCCTATTATTTTAGCCGCTCAAAATACTAACTTATTATGTTGACGATTTTAAGTTAAAAAGTGTATACAATTTCAGTATAAAATGTTTCCATTTCTAATCTTGCCATTATATATAGGCGGTGTTGTTGAAGAAAAAAGCCCGCTGAAGCGAGCGGAATCGGAAAAGAAGTTGGTATGGACATCTCCTCAACTTATTTTTTCAAAAATTTATTGTATTTTATTTATTTTTATAGTTAGATCTTAGTACTTACTAATTGCCTTTCCCATACATGAACATTTATTGTTCAATTTGTTTTTCATTTTTTTAATAAAAAATGAGAATACATACCATTTGCTAAGCTTAATCAAATCATTTTTTTTTTTTTTTGAAAATCATAGTTTGCCACTGAATTGCCTGAAAAACTTTTCTGTATCACAGTTAAAAATGAGTCTCAACCATGAAACTGTCCTCCTCTTGTGGCTAGTCCCTTCAACAAATTATAAATTATTTCAACAATATTTAAAATGTCTGTTTTTGTTACACTTTACAAAAATACATTTCAGGGATTGATTGGCCTTACGGCGATCTTTTTTTGTTCATTATTATTATTATTTTTCTTCATTTGAGCAAGTTTAAAAAAATTAGATTATGGATTGGGTAAGTCAGTACAACAATATCATTTTAATGACTAAAACTACTTATTTTGCCGAAAGTGTTGGACATAATGATTTTTTGGCATAGTAAAGTAGTATAAATATGAATTAATCCTGTTTGTGTTCAACCGCCTCAGTTGCAGTTGCATCCCTCTCCTGAAAACATACGCTTTTAACCAAACATCCCTAACACTTCTTTCTCTCTCTTAAACCAATTGCACCTCTCTCGCCTCAACCATGTTTTCACTCGCCATTTCTTTCTCTACCCAAACTCTCATTCTCTCTTTGGAATCAGCCGTGAAATACTCATCTTCTCTCTCTAACCCATTTAGGTTTTCTCTCTCTCTAACCGTGTTTTCTCCCTTTACCTCACCTTCGCTTTCTTTGATCACTAAAACCTCACCCATAAACATTCACAAATCTCATCTTCTCTCTCTAACCCATGTTGTTTTCCCAATTTATTGTTATTATTATTATCTTAAAAATTCACTAAGATGTTTGTTTTTAAAATAATTATTGACACTGGGATGTTAAAGAAATAGGTGAACATTACATAATTTGCAAATATTGGGGCAGTTGTGTCTTATCCCATCTCATATTCACTTGAGCCTTTATCTTTTATTAGCAACATATTTAGACAGACTATATTTTTGTAATTCCTAATGATTGGCCACTTTACCCTCCCAAAGCTGACGCAGCCTTTCACCTTTTGCTTTGATCTCTTGCAGCTAAAAAATTTTGTTGCTGCAAGTTTTGCATTTTATCTAAGTCCTAGATGGAGAGGATAGATATGAATAAGTTTGAACTCATTAACAATATGTATTTCTATTTAACGTAGTTCTAATATGAAATGTTTGAGTTCATTAACAATATCTATTTCTACATTTGATGTAGTTAAGATATGAGCAAGTTTGAGTTCATTAACAATTTGTATTTAGTTCTGAGCTTCTTAACTATATGAATTTTTCCGTGTATGTTTTTCTCTCTCCCCCTTTTATTGCTTTATCTTCTCCATCATATTATTTCTATGGCAAATAGGCCATGGATTAACAGTTTCCACATGGGACAAAACTACTCATCTTTATAGATAAAATAAATAGGGCCGAAACAAGTGGGCCAAAAAATCATGTTCTATGGTGCATGCCATGGGGCGCAAACCCTCTGAAGTTATTTCCCATGCGGTCCTGTGTGCGCTGATGAAAGGCCTTGGTTTGGCCACGTCTAATTTTATTTGTAATATGTGTGTAGGCTCCACTATAATGATACAAAAAGAAATTTTCTATTAACATCTTCCATGTGCTAACTTATATTGTAAATTATTACATAAAAATAAAACAAATAAGAAATAAAAACTAACCCAAATAAGAAATAAAAACTAACCCTAAACAAAACAAAACAAACAAAACAAAATGTTAGTCTTAAACAAAACAAAACACGAAACCTAAAGAAAAGAGATCGAAAAAGTGGACGAGCTCTCGTCCAAAGAACTTTAAAGTCAATCAAGGTTTCCATATTATTGTTGGTGCAATCCATCAATCGATTAGGTATTTCTGGGTTTCGAACAGAGAAAGGAAAGTCAAAATCCAACGGGTTTATTGGTCGCGGTGTTTGCCGGCTGTGGTTTGCTGCACCGTCAAATTCCGGCGCCGTAGTTCTGGGTTCTTCTCTGGCCACGATTTGAGGGTCACCATTTTGCTTTTGGTGGCAGCCATCTTTGGCTGAGTTGGGTGTGATTTGCAGGGTTGGTGTTACCGAATGTGGTAGGATGTTGGTTGTTGGATTTGAGTTGATGTTGATTGCACTTAGTTGTACTGTGCATTGTGTGGCCAAATTGGTTGTTTAAGGTTTGAAAAATAGCAGCAGCGCTGTTTAATTCCAATACTCCATCATTGTTGTTCTCTTTTTCTAGCATGGCAATAGCAGTCTTCTCACCTTCAATCAATTAGGCATTTCTGGGTTTCGAAATGCATAAATAGTGGGAAGAAGGTTCAATTTTGCAACTAGATTTTCTCAGAAGAACGACAAAACCAGAACAGGTGAGGCCCTTCTACCATTATCTATGTTTAATTTCAGACTAGAGATGTAAGGGAGTACCCAAAGGCTTTGCCAATTGTGCTGCACGTGTGGTCACACATGCACTACAATTGAGATGATATAATTGGTTTTTTCAGATTCTAAAATTGTGCAAGAATTCAAATTTTCTTTTAATTTTCACATTTCCTCCGTAACTAACCTTAACTTAAAAATATTGCTGAAACCACACCAATTCCAAATACTAATAGAAATAGCTATACTGATAAAAATTTATAAACCCCAACTTCAAAGACTCCTTTTTTCCTTATGCACTGTATAAGATAGTTTCAAAACAACACTATATATGCTTAAGTCACTTTGTTCTGCTGTCCCATGCTGAATAACTAATGTCACAGATAAATTTAACTAAATTCGACATAACCCTACGTTCACTATCAAAAACAGGTATTCATATAGTGCCAATTAACTAATGTCAAATACAAATTTAACTCAATTCAACATATTATTTGAAATTAAATTTTCCAATAAAAAATTTAAGGTCTTGTAAAATTTGAGATCTTGCAATTCTGTGGTAGTATAAAGTACGATGATGGATGTGATAAACCTGGCATTAAGCTTGTAAATATATATTTAAAGGCTTATTATCATCTCTGTTTTATAAGTTTACTTCTCATTATGAACTCATAAACTAGGAACATCAAATGGGAAAGAAAAAGTATATGGCCAAGCGCGATGAAAAAACGAAAAAACATGCGGGCAAAACCAAACGAGATGAACCAAATAAATTTTTTTTGCCCAAATGCGGTCTAAAAAAGAAGATTGATTTGTCCAAACACAAGGGAAAAAGAATTGTTTTGGATAGTGAAAGTAATTTTGATGACGCCTTATACTCTCCTTTTGCTACTTCTCTATCTGAATCATCAAGTAGTACTGATGAGGTTGAAGGTGGAGCATATTTGAAGCGTAGAAAGGTTGTTAGTGGATTGAAGCAAAGTTTGAAAAACAATAGAGGAAGTTCGAAACTGAAGCGAAAGGAAAGAACTGGAAGGCATATTGGACCGTACTTCTTCAAATTTAGGTATATATTCAAAACCCTTAATGATAATGGGATCAAATTATTATAAATATCATGGATTTTGTTATTATTTTTTATTTTTTCTTTTCTTAATGATAAATTATGTTATTGACAATGTGATCAAATTATTATAAGTTTTAGGACATATCCCAATACTTTAAAAAAATAAGATAAGTTGATTAAAAAAGTACTTGCAAAATTGTTTGTGCTGGACTTATTTTGTGGAGTATGATGTTTTACTAATTTTGATTTATTTATTTATTTATATATTTTTTTAAAGTGATGTATTGCACCAATGTTTTTGCCTTAGTTATATATATGTTGATGTATGGAAAACAAGTGGCAATGTAATTGAACAATAAAGTTTAAAAATTTTTAAATGTATTAAATTTTATAATTATTCATTATGTTTATAATTTCAGGTATACTATCAAGATAAGTGCAAAATAGAAAACCCTTCAAAGGATTGGGAAAGCCTTGATTATGGACAAATTAGTGAAGATGCTGGAGAGCTTTGGAATAAAATGAGTGAAAGTGAAAAACAACCTTTCAAGAATGAGCGGGAAAAAGAACAAGCGAAAAGCAAAAAAAAAAAAAATGCACCAAAACGAGTCTCCAAATAGAACGTATTATGACATTTTCCCTTCCCTCATATTATTGTTTTATTATTTGAGGCACGTTCCCTTATTTATATTATTTTTGTTTTGTAATTTATTATTTTATTGAACTTTCATTCATAGGAAAATCGGAATCATTGGCAAAGATGCTTGACCGATCAATTGGTCAAATGTGTATCCCAACTTGGTGCTGAGAAGATGAAAACGATTGAGGAAATTGGCTTTGGGCAGTTGCTGAACTTAAAATGCTCGTGTATGGATTTTAACATTTTTTGTTATATATTTAGTAACTTCGACTGTCACATCGGTCTTCTTGGAGTTGGCTATAATGAGTATATCTTTATATCGGCACATGATGTCAATTTTATTTTTTGCTTGCCTTGGGAAGACGGATGTGCCGGAAGGTTTTGATGTTGAAGCCGAATGAATAGATAAATGTGGATATCGTGATTCAGGAGGGATGCACTGAAGTGCTTTGCAAAAAAAGGTTACACAACTCGATGTTGGAGACGATTTTAAGCGAGCATTTTTTTTATTTGCATGTGCAACAGTCCTTAGGCCAAATGGTTGCAGTAATGTCAATCTAACGGGGTTTGAATCTGTGAATAATGTTGATTCATTAAGACTTTCAACTGGTGTGGTTATATTTATAAACATTTGGTTAAACTTATGAAAAAGCCAATGGACCAGGGAAAAGAAGTTTAATTTTTCTGCAGGTATAATTTTTTTATTTTATTTTTTATAACTAAATGTGTTACTTTTTAAAAAACAATGTGTTGGACAAAAAAAAAGTCTTGCCCCAAACCTCTGGTCCAACTTAAGAAACCTTTGAGAATACCATTTACTGTACTTTTTAAACATTGTATTTATTTATATATGTTAAAGTTTTTATAAACATTGCATTTATTTATATATGTTAAAGTTTTTATATATTAATTATTTGATGACATTGAATCCAGTTACTGTATCCCATCCGAGTTGATGTTAAATGACCTAGCAAAGGGGATGTCCAATTTGTTAGTTTTTGGACAGATGAGAATGTACAGAAACGCCTTCAATGGGAAGAAAAAATGGGAGGTTTTGGACATGGTCAGGTAATGTTTTTATTTTTTTATTTTTTTTTTTTATTTTGTTACTTGTAGCTTTTAATTAATTAAAGCATACACTCCCTTACTTATATTCATTTATAAAACCGAGTTTAAAACACTTGTGATGGCTTGTCCCACAACCAAATGTATAACTGGTCATGAAGTCCCTATTATTGATTATTTTTCATCACCCTTACATTCTTTATCTCGTATGTCATTTCCATCTGCCGATATAAGTTCTGATTTCGAATACGAGGTAAATATACATTCCATTATGTTGTTGTTGTTGTTGTTATTATTATTTTTTAATTATTTTTTTAAGTTTACATGACATTATGTTTAATTTGTATATATTTTTTATTATTAAACCCTAACTTCTTACCTATTATCTGATGTATGCAGCGCTGCTTTCAAGAATTGAAGATGCTCTTGCAGAAAAATTAAACAACTTGCCCAACTCTGTCTTTCTTATCCCTCGTCCACTGGCTTTTTCAGGGGTTCGACCAAATGTTTATAAATATAACCAAAGCAGTTATAAATCTTAATTGAATCAACTTTGTTCATAGATTCAAATTCCCTTAGGTGGACATTACTCCGATTATTTGGCCTAAGGATCGTTACACGTGCAAAAAGAACAAATGCTCACTTAAAATTGTCTCGAACATCGAGTTGTGTAACCTTGTTTTGCAAAGCACTTCGGTGCATCCTTCCCGAATTACGATATCCACATTTATCTATCCATTCCGCTTTAACATCAGAACCTTCTGACACGTCCGTCTCTCCACAAGGCAAGCCAAAGATAAAATTGACATCATGTGCCGATATAGAGATATATTCATTAAGGCCAACTCTACGAAGACTAGTGTGGCAGTCGAAGTTACTAAATATACAATGAAAAATGTTACAATCTAGACGCGAGCATTTCAAGTTCAACAATTGTCAAAAGCCAATTTCTTTAATCACCTTCATCTTCTCAACACTAATTTGGGATAAACATTTGACAAATTGATCAATCGAGCATCTGTGTCCATGATTCTGATTTTTCTATTGATAAAAGTTTAATTAAATGATAAGTTACAAAACAAAAATAATATAAACAAGGGAGCTTGCCTTAAATAATTAAACAATAATAGGCAGGAAGAGAAAATGACATAATACCTTCTGTTTGGGGGCTTGCTTTGGTGCATTTCTTTTCCTTTTTGCTTGTTCCTTTTTCCACTAATCCTTGAAAGGTTGCTTTTCACTTTCACTCATTTTATTTCAAATCTTTCCGGCATCTTTACTGATATGTGTATAATCAAGTCTTCACCAATTCTTGGAAGGTTTTTCGGCTTTGCACTTATCTTGATAATATTTTTTGAAATTATAAACACAATGAATAATTACAAAATTTAATACATTTCAATTTTTCTAAACATTATTGTTTAATTACATTGCCACTTCATTTTCATATATCAGCATATATATAACTAAGGCAAGAATATTGGTGCAATACATTCTTTAAAAAAAAAAAAAAAAATCAAAATTAGTCAAAAAAAAAAAAGTTGAAATCAGTAGCAAGGATCTTCATAACATTAGTTGATAACATCACACTCTACAAAATAAGTCTAGCACAAACAATTTTGTAAGTGCTTTTTTAAATAACTTATCTTATTTATTTTTGAAGTATTCGGATATGTCCTAAAACTTTATGGGTCGTAGTTCATTTCAATATTTTCTTATTTTATTTCTTTCTAATCAATACATTCAATAAAAAATTTATATTAATAACATAATTTATCATTACGAAAAGAAAAAATTAAAAATAATAGCATAATACATGAAATTTATATTAAGTTGATCCCATTGTCATTAAGGGTTTTGAATACATACCTAAATTTGAAGAAGTAAGGTTCATGATGACTAGCAGTTCCTCCATTCCGCTTTATTTTTGAAACTTCCTACATTATTTTTCAAACTCTCACTCTGTTTCGATCCACAAATAACCTTTCTACGATTTAAAAGAGCTCCACCTTCAATCTCATCGGTATTACTTGATGATTGAGACGGAGAAGTTGCAGAAGGAGAGTATGAAGCATCATCAGAATTACTTTCATTGTCCAAAGTAATTCTTTTTCTATTGCGTTTGAACACATTAGTCTTCTTTTTTACACCGCGTTTGGCCACATCTCTTTTTTTTCTTTTTTTCATCTCCTTTGGCTTTCGTTGCATATTTTTTCTTTTTTTTATTGCGCTTGGCCATATGTTTCATCATCCCATTTGATGTTTCTAGTTTATGAGTTCATAATGAGAAGGTACTCTTATAAACAGAGATCATAATAAGACTTTAAATAAATTTAAAAGCTTAATGCAAAGTTTATCACATCCATCATCATATTTTATAATAAGACTTCAAATAAATGCACTGCACGAGATAGTAAGACAAGTCACTTCAGAGGATATACGCCCCAAATCCTCTGATGTGGAGTTGCCATGAAGTTCCCTGATGCTTGTTTTATTTGGCTAACATTTGGCCACATGGATCTTTACTAAACAAACATCAAGAAATTCATGGTAACTCTACTGTAAAGGATTTGGGGCATAAATCCTCTTAAGTGACTTGTCCTGCTATCCTGTGCGGTGCATGATTACTTGGCCTATATTTGGCCACGTCCTTATTTCTGAAAGTGTCCTTGAGACTGTATTTGGTGCGACAATTACACAAATTAGCTTACTCCCTCACCACCATCTTCACCCTCAAAACAAGGAATACACATAGTGCTGACTAAATAATGTCACATATAAATGTAACTCAATTCAACATATTAATTATGTTATTTTTTGATATTAAATGTATGCGGCAATTACACATAAATTTATTCACATGTTATTATTTGATATTTATGAAAAAAAACTTGGTAAAGTTTAATATTAATTGCCACACTCACCACCTTCACCATCAAAAGAATGTATTCACATAGTGCTGATCTCATACATAGACCTAACTCAATTCAACATATTATTTATATTTTATTTGAAGTTAAAAGTTCAATTTTATGATATAAAAAAAGCATCAAAAAAAAAAAAAAAAGTCACATGTTAAATTAAAGAGGATTTTGAAAGGGATTATGAGATATTTTGCTGTCCATAATTTTCACTTT